TAATTTGCTCAAGGGTATATTATATTTTAAGGAACCACTAATCAATGGGAATCAAACTTGTGCCATTTTCTCTAATACCACATGTAATGCATCTTATCTCTCTCCCCTTAAACTAACTGAAAAAGGGGAATTGCTTAATAAAAGAGCTCTTTATAGCTATTTTATCTCCATTTATCCTCCAAAGTCCCAAGGATTCACAGTAACAATATATCTAAATCTCATCCCATAATCACATGCACTACATCATAGCTTGCACTCCGTTATGTAGAAAAACACTCATTTATTTGTCATAGAACTGCCATGCAAAGCCTGTTGGGATTGGCATCTGAGGTGTTAGTTAGAGGCGTTAGACTTCATCAACAAACTGGAGGAATGCTGAGCTGAGCAGCTGGTGTGGCAGCTTTGGCTCATGTTGTTGCTCATGCTTTGGCTCCTTGCGTCATTCCTGGTCTAGATGCTCTTTATTGTGGTGCTTGCAGTGCTATGGCATGCTGTTATCATTGACTAGCATTTCTGTGGGTGGGGATGTTGGCCCTTCTTTCTTGGCATGAACTTCTTGGCATTGGTCGAGGCAGTTACAGAGTCAAGATTAATTTTTTGACTTTGTTCTTGACTCTTCTCCTCCTGTTCTTCCTTGGAGAGGAGCTTGTGGTTGATTTCATCCTGTTCTTTGGAGGTGAGACTATTGTTATCTTGGTCCTTTTTGCCGGTGGAGTCTTTGTCGGTGGTGAAAGTTCCTTCTCATCCTCTTCTTCTTCCTCCTCTTTGTCTTCTTCATCAGATTTGTGGAGTGGATCCTCTCTCCTCTTCAGCGTGCATTCTTGCTTTCTTCTTGCCTGCGGTGTTGTCGAAGGTACTTCCACGCTGAGTGGAAATGCCACGACAATATGTTGGCAATAGCATTGACTTGGGATGCAAGATTTCACTCACGCATCAAACACATTGAGTTGAGGTTCCATTTCATCCGGGATCAAGTCAACAATGGAAAAATCAACCTGGAATTCTGTTTGACCAGCTCAATGGTCACTGATATCCTGACCTCGAGTGAAGCATGGACTCTTCCTCAAATCACTCTGTTTGACTGACAGTGCAAACCTTGAGGAGGAGTGTGGAGACAAGTGATGACAAGTCTTCACGTTAGCAAAGAAGACAAATCATTCATCCAACACACCAACCACCAAGTGTCACACCCATACCATTATGTACATAACCATACCAAAGCAATGAAATTGACAGAGCATTCCGCACACAAAATCACACATCTATAGTAGCTCCATTTGCTGGCCATCAGATTCTTTCTGATTGGCAAGTGTGTGAAACTGAGGAGTCAGGTGATTCAAGCAAATACCTTGCGAAGATACGTCTTCCTCCACTTTCCTTGATTGCCATTGAGCACGGGAGAGGGAAGCTTTTGAGCCCCTAGTGACACAGAATGCCATCCTTGGAGAAACTATAGGCACAGATCCCGCCCTTGGTGCTCTTGGTGAAAAAGATGCCATTGGAAGTGGTAGAACAGTGATTGCAAGAGCTGTTGAAACAGTCACCGCCACTGCAGTTGCCCCCACAGCAGCAATGGAAGATGTGTCCAATGGTTGAGGAGAGCATGCTGGGTGAGGAGACACAATTGCCACCAACGCCACGACCACCACGACCGTTGGCACAACTCAATGCTTCAATAGCTCTTGGAATCACTGCTCCACCATAGCCAATTGCGCCACTCAATGGTAAATCATATCATCACTCTGAAATGAAGGAAACAAAAGCACGGTGCTTCCCAAAAGCCCTAAAATAATAGTATTTTAGCTCGATTAAATCCTTTTTGGTGCAAAAGGATACAAAACGTGGAGATACACAACTTTAAACTCCATACCTTTGCTGGATTGACACCTGCATCAAACTGTGGAAAGCGGCAATCTCGAAGGAGTGTCAACTCGCTGAGCGTGTCAAAGGTGGCGGGCTTCCAAGGACGGTGGTGGCCGGAGTATACAACTCTGAGGATGGCACACTTGGACGAGTGTTGTCGAGACACTCATGGGGTGGGCTCGGACGTGATGCAGTTGAGATCACGCAGACAGCCATGCAAGTGATCCCCACAGTGGTGGCCGCATTTCATCCGGCTTCTCAGGTGGCCAAAGAGATTTCTTCAAGGGAGTTTTGCAAGCCGGATCCACCATCATCGAACGCCTCTGCACATATCAGTGCCCCATGCCCCAGAATGGCGAGCTTCGAGGCAGCACCTGGGTGGTGGTTCCTCCCTTCGGAACTGCCTCAAGCAGCCCGGCTCTAGCCGTGCTGTCAACGTACATCTCGACTTTGTCTACCGTTTAGCTCTGATCTCCTCTTCGTCTTGCTCATGTCAGATGGATCCTACCGCCAGGCAAGCACTCAAAAACAAGGTTGTCCATTGAGTAGGCTTTCCGTTGTTGCCACTGCTGCCAGTTGGAGATATCCTGACGCACTTGGTGCATATAATCGGCCTCGCAGCATCCTGCGCCAACTTGCCTCTAACTTGATCATCGACACCAGCCTGTCATAGTCATCAGTCATTCTCTTCGAGTTTAGAAAGTCCAGAACACCATCCAACGAATAGTTGTGAGATATCTGAAGCCTTCGTAGCAAAGCCTGCACAGACGATATCTCGCAAGCATGAAAGCCAAGCGAGGTTGCGCGTGATAAATACCTGGTCTGCGGCATCATACATGCAAATGTTCCTCCAGCAAGAAGTAGGCTGCCGTCGGCTGAGTAAGACATGGTCGTAAAGCATTTTCCCGAGCTTGAGTTAGCAGCCGTTCTTCTATCGCTCATCAATCTCCCTCCTGCAACGTCACGCCTGCCTTCTATCGTGCCCATTAGCACTCCGTCAATCGAGTCCCAGAAGTGGATCTGACCATCAAGTGTTGAGCAGCCCAGTTGCTTTCCGTCCGGGCAGTAAACCACGGTGAGCACGTCATGTGTATGGGTGAAGGTTTCAACCCCGCCCTTGCCTTTAAACACATCCACAGGCGCACGGTTTTGTCCCTTGACGAGGAAGTCAAGAACTCCTGTCAAGACGTGTTAGAAAGTGGAAAGGATTGTCGCATAGGAGTAGGAGAAGAGGCCAAACCATGAACCGGTCCCTCGTGACCACTCTTTTCATGGACCAAACGTATATCTAGCAAGAGCAGTAAAGCTTGAAATGAATCGAGAAAAGGAAAGCGAGTAGAAAGCAACAAGATACCTGGAATGCGTGTTCCAGCACAGATGATCTCTCCACTTTGGTCTGCAGCCAATGACACAAACTGGGTGTGGTGAAGGTTCGATAGCGCATCAGCACGTACAGGACCATCGAGAACAGCATTACTTCCGGCCAAGAACAACGCTGCAGTCACTGCATTTATGTGCTCATGCTGACGAAACAGGATTCAGACGCAGCATTCCACAACTGCAATTAAAAACATTTCTAGAAGCTTTAATCTTTTAGAAATATCCTTATTAATAGTATTTTTCTTAATATAATTTTAAAACTTTTATTAAAATTAGGATTCTTAATAGTATAACAATGTACAAATAAAAGTTAAGAATGTTTATAGAATTTTATCTTAAGATTAAATTTGAGCATAGTCAATTGCTAGCATTCATTTCATATTATTTATGAACATTTGAATGTTTATAATCTATATTCTATATGGGAGATGTGGAGAACAGGAATGAATAGGATCTAGCTTATATATTATATATCTTTTGATATTACATTCATTGTGTATTTGATATTTAGTGTCCATAAGACATGGCACAAAATTTACCTTTTTTTGATGAGGTTCATGAAGTTTAAAATGTTAAGCCATGGATATGAAATTTTTGCAATAGATTTGAGAATCTTGCATCATTTATCAAATCCCGGCCAGAGAATTTTTTGAGATGCACATTTTTGTATTTCATTTCTATATTCCATGCAATCACACCATCATATTTATATATATTTTTATAAGAATTTTACTTTGGTACCATACAGTATAAACAGGAAAAATATTAAATATATCTGTCAATTTTATTGCAAAATCAAGTGGTCATCTCTCTTGTCAATCTATACAGGTGAGTCTTGAACGCCATGGAAGTCCAAAACGTGATACTGTGGGGTTTGCTCATTGCACCCCACAGTCAGCTAGACAATGTGCTGCTGCTCGTCACAATGCAACACGAAGTTGAACTGAGTGGTCTGGTCATCTCAGCTTGTAATATTTACTGGCGATGATCCAAGGTCAAGAGCATTGGACCGCTGGCCTGGATGATGATGCTTACACTAGATGTAATCTGGAAACATGAGCATATATAATATTGTCAAATGTAATTTTGCTCTTGCTTGGAGTATGCCAAATCAAATGTGGGCTAGCTAGCTTATATCTTATTGGCATAGTTTGTGACTATCTCTCCCTTATATATCTTGATATCGTGTAATTTTGACATAATTATATTTCTCCATTTATAATATATTATGTCTAAGGAAATTTATTGTGGTATTATACAATATAAATTTTAATAATGTATACAAATTATTTCTTAGAATGTAAAGCGTGACATTGTTGACTAAAACATCATCTTAATTAGCATATGAATTACTCAAATCATTAGTGGCGGCCGCAAGGACCTCATGGTGAGGATTTTCACGCTCCAGCCACAACGGCGTCTTCTTCACCGAGAGCACCGAGGGCGGGATCTGCCCTTATAGTTTCTCCAAGGATGGCGTGCTGTGTCACTGGGTGTTCCACCCGCTCAAGAGCTTCCATCTCCCGCGCGGTGGCGATCAGGAAGACGTAGCTTCGCAAAGTATTTGCTTGGATCACTTGACTTCTCGGTTTCACACACTTACCAATCAGGAAGAATCCGATGGCCAGCAAATGGAGAAGAGAAAGCTACCAGTTCTACGTCCGGATAAAGGGCAGTGGGAGCTCGTGACGAAGCACTTTGTTCCACCAGCATGGAAGGCTCTCGTCGTGCGACTCAACATCATCATGGTCACTGGATCGCTGAAACTCTCTCACAAGCGTGGGAGCGTGATGTTTTCAGAGCTATTGAGTTTATCTCGAATAATTCATATCTTCTCCGCTGCCACTGTGTGGCATTTGACTACACCGTACTCTCTCTCTCTCTCTCTCTTAGCTCGATTCCTCGGACAGCTCCTCCTCTAACTCCACTTCCTCTTCCTCCACTTCCTCCTCTTCTTCGTAATCTCCATGGTGCTGTCCATGGTGCTGTTGCCGCTGCTGCTGTTCTTGGCGGTGGAGCTCCTCGCCTTCCTCCTCTTCCTCCTCATCATAGCTCTCCTCTTCGCCCATTATCATGCTGTTGATTTCCTCCTGTTCTTGACGATCGTAGAAGTGTTGGGGTGCTTGCTGCCCCTCCTCTTCATCCTCCTCCTCCTCCTCCTGTTGCTGGTGGTGGTGGTGCTGCTGGTGATGGTGTTGCTGATCATCTTCATAAGAGTGCTCGTCCGATCCTTGCCTCTCCCAACCCTGACCTTCCTCGTCGTCCTCGTCCGAGCTCTCATCCATCTCACCACCCCCACCCGATGCTCCCGCTTGCGCCTGTTGACGGTGCTCGACGTTTCGTCCAGGAAAACGGAACAGCAGACGGCCTCTTCCCGGCTGCTGCTGCTCCATCTGTTGCTGCTTCTCCACTTCCTGCTGTTGATTGTCTTCTTCCTCGTGCTGTTCTTCCAGGTAGCTCGAACGGTGGTGCTGCGGAGAACGCATTCGGACATGCCCGTTTTGTACCTCCAGCGGTGAGCCGCTGTCCGGGGAGCTTGTCCCTTGGGGACTTGCCGCAAACTCATTTGCGTTGGGAGCCGCCTCGTCCGCCTGCGTGCACAGAAGAATGAAACGCTGATATAGATACCAAGGACTTACAGTCCCGCGGTGGAAGCCATGGTCGTTGTTCTGGTAAGTCTCCTCCAGCTGCTGTCTTTGCTCCGTGCTGAAAGCTATGGCTGCATCAAACGCACTTAGCCGCAACGCCACTGCCGCTGTTGTCTGCGGGATCCAGGGCAAGTTTTTCCTCCTTGAGTTGCTCCCCAGTGCTGTTGTGCTCAAGGCCTTTTCTGCAGTCTCAAAAGACGAAGAGATCCAGTTCTCGTCCACACAGCTCTCCAGCTCGGTGAGGGCCTGCCACAACCACCACAAAGTCAGCAACACAAGTAGCACTGCACTCCGGGGCTTACCTCAAGAAGCTCGCTCGACGACGATGCAGCCTTGACATTACTACACCAGATCCTCCGGGAGTCACTCGTCCATGAATCCTTGAACGCTTCCGCTGGAACAGCCACCTAAGGGTGATACAAGCATTAGAAACGCGCAAAGAACTAGAAAGCTTCCACATACCTCCACAGACAACAATAGTTGTTTGAGCAGCTGTAGCCGCGATGGAAGAAGTTGATATCCAATTCCCTGCTTTGCCTCGAGCTTGCTTTCGCACTCGCGAACGTGACTAGAGAACTTGGAGCTGTCAACCATGGCGTGACAATACGGGCAGTGGTTTTCATCCGGCCAGTACAAGCCATGGCACAGCTCGCAGGTGGCCAACATCTCCACGTCTCGTTTGTTTCCCAGGCTGAGCGCCTTGAGGTTCTTCCCTCCTCTCGCCAAGCACCGGTTCCAGAGCCATCTGTCCAGGTCCTTGAAGCGATCCATGGCGTGCTGGATCTCAAGTGTGGACCTTCCAAGTTCAACTGGAATGGCGCTTGGCACCTCTGGAGAGGCGTCCGACGGTCCGAAAACTCCACTAGACGGACTTCCCTCCGCCTTGCCTTTGGATGACTCCACGTACGCTCTCGACTGAGCAAGACTCTTCATAGCTTTCCTGACGGGGCCCCCTATGTGAGTTAAGATGTTATAGAGGCTCGCCTCTCTTGCTCCGCGTGTGTCTAGGCATGCCATGAGCGCATCTAAAGCCTGCATTCAATCACGAAACGTGAGCGAAGCGAAGATGAGAGACAGGCTTTCTTCGTACCTCTTCCGTGTCTATAACTTCCCAGTGTCCATCTTCGTTACACTCGAAATAGATTCTCGCACGACCAGGATCCTCACCACCGTTTGACGCTGCAAACTGCCAGTACCTGTTGTGTCTCCGATCTAAACCAAGAGGCATGGACCTGATCACGTAGAGCTTCTCGGCTCTCAACCTGATCTCGGCTTTTATCTGAACCCGTGACTTGTCCGCATGCGCTGCTGCCGAGGTCGAGGCCCCGTTGTCGCACTCCGCAGCGGAACCAGCGGGCCTCTCATCGTCCGGCACTTCGGACTTGGCAGCCGACTTGCTTGCCTCCTCCTTGATACGACGCTTGTCCACCTGAACTTCCTCCCACAGTTGTCTCTTAAGAGCCGAGGCCGATTCATATCGTTCCTAGAAACGTTGAAAAGGTTGACACACTAGAAAAAGAGAAGAAACTAAATGTAGGTACCTCAAGCACTGATCTGATGGTGTTGCCTTCGTTCAACACATCCACGAGAGCCACCAAAGCATTCAGCCGCTCCTCAATGCTCAAGTCCGCAAACTCTCCTTCCATGAGCCCCTGCACCCACGGCTCTCCCACTTGGCTCTCGTCAATTTCCATCTCGTCGTCATTGTCAACTTTCCTGAGAGCATCAGGCGGGGGCCGCAAGTGCCTCACCGCATCGTCCTTAGAATCTGCTAGTGCTGCTACTGCTGCTGGTGTTTCCGTCTCAAAGCTCTCCGCTGTTCCAGCTGCTGCTGTTGCTGTTGCCTCACCCGCACTATCTTGAGGCTTCCCCGTTTTTAACCGCAGAATAACTTTACCCCTCCGTGGAGTCTCGTAGCTCTCGGAGGCATGCCCGCTCTCGTCGTGCTCGCGAGCATCCTCGTGCTGTTGATGCTGCTCGGCCCGCTCCACTTCCGGGTCCATATGCTCGCTTTCATGCTCCGCTTCTTCAACCTCGTGCTCTTCGCCTTCGGACTCTTCCTCGGCATCCTCCACGTCCTCGTCTGCCTTCTCCGGGTCCAGCTGCCGAGTCTGATACAAATACGTCCTCTCCAGTGCAGCTTGCAGCACATCTTCCGCATCGTCCGGGTCCCTTCGAAACGGCGAACGGACGCAGTAAGTTGACGGCGCAACACGCTCAAACAGATACGTGTCTCTGGACAAGGCAGCTGAGATCGACGCCTCCGGTGTCTTGCTCGATGACAAGTCCCGCAGGCCTGATTTCTGCAACACGAGCCCCCTCTTAGACAGCTTAACGAGCAAAGTCTACATCTATTCGAGTTACCTGTATCCTGTCTGTTAGCTCCAGAATGGTAAGGCCCTTGCTGCCTTGAATGGACAGGACGTGGAACGCAGCGTACTTGACAGTTCCCGGAGTAAGCTTGGGAGTCTGGCCCTTGCGCACCTTTAGTCGAGTGCCATGCTTGCCACGCATGAGAGCTACAGCATTCACTGCAGCAGCCCCGGAGCGCAGCGTCGCGATCGCATTCGCGTTGTGGCCATCGTGTATCTGCACGACACGGCACGTAAGAGAAAAACACGAGAAGGAATAAAAAATACCTCGATACAATCCGGCTTTGCATCGGGTGACTGCGTTTTTTTCTTCCACCTCGGTCCATAACCGGCTGCCAGTGCGAACTGTCTAAGGATCTCTGGCCACGTTAGAGGGCTCATATGCTGGCCCCATTCCTGAATGTCAAAACCCCACGTATAAGCCTGCGAGAGCACACCATGCCTGGTCAAGAAACACGCAAGACAGAAGAAGGAAATAACCGCTAGCTTACGGCTTCAACAATCTGCGGGTGACCACCAGCCGCAACAGCAATCGCGTGCTGACTTCCAGCGGTTCCACTCGCCGCTGCTTGCGCGGCATCTTCCACATCTCTGATCAAAGTCCTCAACAGCGCAATGTAAGTTTCGTTGAGGAGCCTGGAATCCTGCACAAACGTGGAAAAGCACGAAGCTCTAGCAGGCCAAGGACGAGCAACGCTCAAAAACTTACAAAGTCATGAAGCCCCTGGACGAGTTCGTCGACTGTAAATGGCCACAGCCCAATGGCGTCCGAGAATGTGGTCAAGAATCCCCAGACCTGTTTGGCAACACGAGTTAAGTTGGCTGGAAGCTGGAAAAAAACTAGCGCTCACCATAAGAAGATTGGAAACGTTCTGCACAGAATCCCAAGGCGAGACTCCAAGAACCTTCTTCATCCGCACTGAAGCTGGCGGGTACTTCTTAAGCTCCACTGCGCGGAAAATAGAAAACTTTAAACACAAGAACAGCAAGATAGCTCCAAACCTTTGCTTGGGTCGAAAGCCGAGCCACCCTCCATATCGCCGGAGACGAGTCCTTGAACAAACGCGCCCATCTGCATGAGTTCTAGCTGCTCGTCGTCCATCAGACCCGTGGAAAGCTTGGCAAGCTTCTTTGCGGTCGCTCGCTCGTAAGCGGCCTGGAGCTTCGCAGCCTCTTTTTGCCGCCGGACCTCCTCCTTCAAGCGCAACTTCTCCAGCTGAAACCACCACCAATGCCTCGTGATCAGCTGGTCCTAAACTTTGAAAGCCATACACCCTCACCCGTTGCTGCTCCTTTTGAGCCAGTCTCTCCAAGCGATCTTGTTCTTTCTTCTGCTCGCGTTGATGTCTCTCCTCCTCGCGTTGCCTCTCGCGGTTGATCTTCTCCAGCTCCCTCTGCCTCTCTCTGTTGATCTTCTCGATCTCTTTTCTCTCCTGCTCTTCCCTCTGCCAGCCAACAGTGTCACAGACTATAAAGAACAAAGCAAGTTAGCTTACCTTGCGGCGTGCCGCTTCCTGCTTCTCAGCTTCTCTCTTGAGCTTCTTCTCTTGGGCCTCCAGCTCCCGGGCGAGCTTTGCGTCGTCACTCTGGAGCTATGCACACGTAAGCCTGGCCTCAAAGCTAAGATTTTTACCTTGCGTTTCTTGCTGCTTCCGGGTTGCGGTGGCTCGGGCATTTCAGGAATCACGACGTGAGACGGCTTGAGTAGCTGCTCCTCCATGCCGGCATCAGCGTCACCATGCGGCAGGAAATTCAAGGAGAGGTTCGGAACTCTGGCATCCGTGAGCGAGCTGCTACTCTGCTGCGCCTTTCCTTTGCCGTCCCTCTCCAGCTTGCAAGGCTGGAACTGAGCTCCGGTTGGATGCTCCGGAATGAACTGGTGCTCCCGGGGGATCGTCCTGCTGCTCGTCAGCGGGGATGTCCGCCGGCTGCTACCCAACTCTGGAGCTCCTGGAGCCTGAAAAACACGAAAACACGCCTGAGAACACGACCGAGAGAACAAACTCTTCCTCGATCTTACCTTGAGCTCGGCCGCATTGAGCGAGAACGTCGACGAGTCTGCCATGCAAGCACACAAATCATCTCAAGCACTGCGTCTTCGCGAAACCACAGACATATCCAGCCATGCTTACGTACCTATAGGAGTGTCGAAGGGTCCGGGAGGGAGAGGATCAAACTCCCTTCCCAGCACGGGTCCGTCCTCTCGGATCGGCTCCCCGAGCTGCTGCTCCACCAGAGTGATCACCTCCCGCTCGCGCTTGAGCTCCTCGGCGGCCATGGCTGCCGCGCTCCGCTTCTTACCGCCACCTTCCTTTTTCGTCGTCATCGTCGTCGCCTTGGCGACTTCCTCGCCACCCGCCGGCGCTGCCACTGCTGCTACTTTGGCATCCGGGAGATCGACCGCTGCTCCAAGCATGGACGCTGGGCTTGGATTTGGAGGAAGAGGCGGAGGAGGAGGCAGCAAGAGGAGCGCGGCGCCGGCAGCACCGGTGGCAGCTTCTTTGTCCTTCTTCCTCTTTTGCTTCTTTGACGAGGTCGCGGCGGGAGCTCCAGGAGCGGCGCCGCCCTCGTCGCCCTTCCTGTCCTTGAGCCGCCGGTGGCAGAACCACATCTGGAGCTGCCTGTCCGTGAGGCTCAATTTCGTGGAGAGCTCCGCGCGGACCACCTCGGAGGGGTACTTGTCCTCTAAACAGCACGAAGAACACGAAGAACACACACAAAAAAAAAAGAGAGAAAACCAATCAATCCACCACAGGAAGAAGCACGAATCGATCGAGAGCGAGGGGAGGGGAATCACTCACCGGCGTAGACCCTCTCGAGAATTTCGAGTTGCGAGGGAGTCTTCATCTTGCGCTTGGTGTTGAGACCCTTATCCTTGTCCTCTCCCTTGCGCGGCTTGTCGTCGCCCTCCATGCCCCAGCGCGCTCAAGAACACGGCCGCGCCCCAGATCCGAGCAACCCAAGTCGCCTCCGGCGCGGATCTACGCGAGCAAGCGAGAGATCGAATGGAAGGGCAACGCTACACGGATGAATCGGGTACCAAACGGAGAGAAAAAGGGGGAAAGAACAAGAGATGGGATGGGAGAGGAGGAAACAAAGAGGAGAGAAAGGAAAAAAAAAAAAAAAAACTGGTGGCCTTTTCTGGGGATGATGGATGGATGGGGAGGAGAAGCACCACCACCACCGGGGACCGAGACTGCTAATCTTAATCTCACAACACGGATTTGGGTGCGTGGTATAGTCTAGTTTGAGAGAGAAGAGAGTGAGAAGGAGAGAGAGAAGAGGGCTTGCTTGTGGGATTGGGGTGTGTGATCTCCCTCACTCTCGCGCGCCCTCGCCTCGCCTCGCCTCGCTCGCTCGCTCGCAAAGAGTTCTAATTCTTCTCTCTTAGAACTTCCTTCTCTCTCTCTCTGTCTGTCTCTCTCTCTTTCTTTCTTTTCCTTTTTCTCCTTGGCCGCGGCAGCAGCAGTAGCAGCGGCAGCGGCAGCAGGAGCAAGCGGGGCGGTGGCGGCGAGGATTGGGGTGGCGGGGACGATATCGGATCGGGGGAATCGGGTGGGGTGAAGAACAAGGGAGACGACTTCGTCTTGTTGTTGGTTCCTTCTATCTTCTTCCTCATGAGCATGGTGATGGGGTTGGGTTTGGACGACGACGACGACTACTACCACCACTACTACTACTCCACCACACACACACACACACACAAAATTAAGGAAAAAAAAATTCCTACTGGATGGACGACTGGCTCTTTCTCACTCACTCTCTCTCTCTTTCTCACTCTCTCCGGCACGCACGACTAGCCAACAAAACCCAATGGTGGCGGTGATGGGCGATTGTGGCTCTACAAAATGGTGGCCGGGCTGGGCTGGGCTTGGCTGGATGGCTACACTACACTACACTACACGACCAAAAGGAGCGCTTTTCTTTTGCCTCGCGTTCTTCTTTCTCTTTGTTCGTTCTTTTTTCTCTTTTTTTTTTTTGTGCGTCTCTCTCTCTCTTTCTCTCTCGCTCTTGTGTGCTTGGTCTACGGAATTTGCGAGGTGGGATGGATTGGACGGAGGAGATGGCGGTGGCGGCGGAGATCGGATGGTGCGCGGAGGGATGGTTCTGTTTGGTTTTAACTTGGATGGGGGCGTGGGAGGCAAAAACAAATCACGCGACGAAGAACACAAAGAGGGAGCGATGAATGGGACCATGACCGCATCTGATGGGCATGGCATGGCATGGCCATCATGCGGGCGTCAACCGCCGCTAGCGGAATATTCCCGGCGGGTCTAATTCTTGAGAGACCCCACCCGCGTGTCCTTGTTCTTCACGGACCAGCAGTTGTCTAGCAAAGCAGTATCGCTCGATCTCGCAATCTGGCCAAGGATCGCCTCGTCTTCATCGGGCGAGTTTCATGGCATTGTCACGCAAACAATCGCGAGTGTGTGAAATCCACACCACAAACTTTAAAGAGTGCGTCTCTCTTTTTCGCAGTGGAAGCAGACCCCACCCACGGCAATGCTCTTGCTTGTCACAACACCTTTAGATCTCACTCAATCGACCACAAGCACAAGCAAAACTATAACTTTGATTCCAGGGCCGCGAGCGCGGATCTAGACTTCTCCAGCAAGCTCGTAATGGAGACTTGGAACGCATCCCGTCGAAAGGTGGTGAGGTTGGCGGCCGGGGCGGCGTAGAGGAGTCGGGGGATGATCCGAGTGACAATGGTACGTCGCATGCGCCGCCGCCGGGATGGCGAGATTGCCGCCAGCAGCCGGGCAATGTCTACGGTGCCCGACTTGACGTCCTCGGCGGGGACGTAGACCGAGTAGTCGGCCAGCCGAGCCGGCAAGTGCCACGGGTACTGGACGTAGGCCGTCTCTTGGCTGAAGAGCACGGGGATGCATCCCGCGATGAGCGAGTCGAAGACCGACCTCCGCGTCGCGCTGTCCCCGACTGGCTGGAGGCAGAAGTGCGAGGCGAGGAAGAGCTCCGTGGTGGACTCGGGCCGGAGGCAAACGTCCCCCGAGCACTCGAGGAAGCGGCAGAGTCGTGGCTGGCTGGTGCAGATGGCGATGAGCACCGCGCGGATGGAGTCGGTTGTCCGCGGCATGCCCGCGAAGCTGAAGAGCGCGTCGCGGCGGGACGACGCCACGGCATGCAGCCACTCCTCCACGTCCCTATCCGAGGCCGGGTGGAAGTACGTCGGGTGCGGCACTCCGACGTCGTTGGCGTTCCAGGGGTCGCGCTCCAGCAGCAGTCGAGTTACGTTCTCGAGCCCCGGTAGCATCAGCAGCGTGTTTCCCCACTCGGTGTCCGTCCGGCGAAAGTCCCAGGTGATCTTTCCCAGCACCAAAAAGTGATCGATCCCCCCGTTCCGCCTCCACGACTCGTGCTGCTCGAGCAGTCCCATGAGCTCCACCCCGAGCTCGTCTTTCTGCTCGTAGCTCACGTTGGCGTAGTGGTACCTGTGCATGCATCGTGTGTCGGTCTCTCGAGGAGCTAGAGAAACGTTTTTACGTACCGGAACACGTCCAGGCCTCCGTAGTATGGGATGTAGAAGAGCTGCGCCTTGGCCGGATCATCCGTGAGGCAGGCGTACTCCTTGAGCCGAGCGTGAAACAAGACCTCGAGCATGTACTGGTTGGTCTTGTGCCACCTCCCGGCGGGCTTGAGCACCCCGGCCCTGTCCGTCGTCACCGCCTTGCCCATCCCAGAGTTTTCGAAGTAGTCGCACATCGAGTACCACGGGAGAATGCGGTCGCACAGAGCAACCAGGTCCGCGTTGAATCTCGCTGGAAGGTTGTAGCTGTAGATCCACTTCCCGCTGCACGACGACGATGGTTCTTCCACTGCATTGTCCTCGTTCCGAGAGTGCTCTCGCAACTCGTCCATGATCCGCAACAGTCCCGGCCTGATAACTCGGCTGTCCTCTTGAGTCTCATCAGCTTCGTCTTCATCTTCACCATAGTCGTCATCCTCGTCTTCTACATCCTCCTCCCCTGTTCCTAGCACCCTGTTCTCGATCATCTGTCGTCTTGCATTGCCCTTCTCACCTGAGAATCCCAGGGACTTGAGCTCCAAGGGTAGACTCGCCTCTTCATCACCACGTCTATGACCGTCGTTACCAGCAGCCTCAGCGTCCTCCATCTCCAAATCTGTCACAGTATCTCCATCCTCGGCTCCCTGCTGATGATCCGTGGTGGTGGACTTGGTCGACCTCCCAAATCCATCGCTTGGCAGCACTTGCTCCTTGAGCAGCAGATTGGAAGGAAAAGCCTCCGAGGACTTCAGCTCGGACAACACAATCCACCTCCTGGCGAGGGACGTGCATTCCTGAGCTGTGCAGTGGCGAGATTGCGAGAAAACTGTGAATGCTGTCAATCCAAACACAGTCCAAATGCAGAAAACGCAAATGAGCAGCATGGAAGGAACAATTATCAACCTTCTAAGCAGCAGCAGCAGCAGCGCAGCATTCATCCTCTTGGCCATGAACCCGTCGGGCTTTGCGCCTTGAAAAACTCTGGTCACCATTTCAGAGGATGTACACATGGCGGCAGAGGTTTCCTGCATGTAAGAAGACAGAGGTGGTGCTCGACTCAGTGTCCTGGAACAAGACAATAACTTAATCAACCAACCATTCCGACGAGAACTTACTCGCCGTACGGCTTGAGCTCTCTCTTCCAGTCTTTCCTGCAAACGAGAATCAGCAAAATCAGGCGTAGGCATGGCAAGTCGCGAACTTCCTGCAAGAGGTTTTAATGGCTGCAGTGGGATGACTGGTATTTCCTGGAAAAGCTATAATGTCGTTGACACCGTCATTCCTTCCAAATCTTGTGGCGTGATCAGGGATCGCTTTGATCTCGATATCGACGTATGATCGGCTTTGTTGGATACTTGTGTGGAGGGCATGTAAAACAACATGGTAAACCATTAGGTCACATACTTCTATTGCTGACGACAAAAAGAGTCTCGTCCCTCCTCCAGAGCTTTTCTGTGTTTTATGAAATTTAAAGACATGCCAGAGAAGCCCGTCTGCTCGCTTGAACCAGCCAGGCAGCGTGCCACGGCAGATCGAAAGGGACACCGGGATTTATTGCTGAGAGTTTTCAAACTTTCAATCTGTGAACAACAAGACTTTGGTGAGAGAAAAAGAATGTTAGAATACAAGGAACTTTAAATGCAATACCTCTCAGGAAGAAGTTGAAGGAGAAGGAAAAGAAGAAGAAGAAGGGATCCCATCGTTCTCTTGTTGCAAATCCATCCAGTATTAGAACAAACCAGCTAACTATGTCTCAGACCACGCTTCAAGACTTTTGTCGAGAAATTGTATGGCACACGTCTCTCAAAGAAGAGTGAATACGGAGCTGATGTTTCCAACGCAGCTACCACAAGAAAACATGCAATGCCTCCATGCTCACGAAACCTTTGAACTACCATGCGAAACCATAATGTGACAACGCAAGTATGTTACATAGATAGTGTACCTGCTTTCCATCAGAAGACCACCTTGCAAACGATTGTCGAATATATGTGTTGATTGGGGACAGTTTGAGAGCAACACTATCAGAAAAAAATGTACAGACATCGAAAATTTGCAATCACCTTGGCCAGACAAATAATAGAGCTGCTTCCCCTCTGCTAGAGGAAAAACGTGTTGCGTCACCCGACTCGGGTTTCTCTCTCGCTGATCCTTTCGAAGCATTATCCAGGCCCTCCAGGGCTGACACATGTTTGCACAAGCAGGAACAAGCCTTGTCAAGATCAACAGAAATTTCCTTTTCCAGCTAGACATAGAAAGAACAAGACAAAAAGAGCTTTGGTTGATTAAGGGCCAACGCATGAAGGTGAAAAAACTGACTCTTCAAGGAAAATGTGTGTAACATTATTTATTAATCCAATTATCAGAGAATAAATTAGAATAAACGAGATAATGTTTAGAAAAGGTTATAAATTTTAAACATGTTTATAAATTAAAAGCTATTTTCAAGCATATTTTAAGTATATGCACTGCCACCCTGTGCTTAAGCAAAAAAAAAAAAAATTAGATTTTAAATTTTAGTTACTCTGAAATTAAATATAAAATTTACATGTATTATTTATATAATAATTTATATTTATAATTTTAATGTATAAAAAAGTTTTAAAATTTTGATAATATATTTATATTTTAACATTTTGAAATGCTATTAAGAGTTCTGAAAATATATATGAATAAATATATTAATTAAGATTAAGACCCCTACTTATATACAAGAATGGATGGATCAAATTCAATCCCAAATAGATTATCCATATACTATAGTACTACAATTAATGTATTACCTAGTCAAGGTAATACATGTATACAAATAAATAAATAAATAAATAAATAAATATATATATATATATATATATATATATATATATAAAAATTTTACACTATCTTCC